AATCCCCAAAACCCCGAAACCCCGAACCTCCTAAACCCCATACGAGCCCTTAAGCCCCAAACCCCCAAAACACCCCGAGACTCCTACAAAAGAACCCCTGGAAAAGGCTCCCGGCGCGCTCCCAAAGCTGCAGCATCTGCTCCCCGGCTCTCGTTTTTTTGGCTTAGGGTTGAGGGTTTAGGGTTTGGGGTTTAGGGTTTAGGGCTTAGAGTTTAGGGTTTAGGGTTTAGGGTTTAGGTCTCTGAAAGGGCTTTGCTCTTTGATTCGTGGATCTGGATTTTCGTCAGGGGCTTTGGTATCGAGATCTTTTTAAAGGGCTTTTTTGAAAGGGCTTCAGAGCTGTTTATGGAGATCTTGAAGGCTTCAACCGGGTTTCTGATCTTTGGAGGTATCTCAGGTCTAGAGCCCCCCCCCCCCCGCATGTTCTCGATACCCTCTTACGGATCTTTGCATCAAACTCGATGTTCAACGAGACAGCTGTGTTTTTGTCTTGTGATTTAGGGAATTTTTTCTGATCCTGAAGCTGAGGACGCTGTGCGGGGAAACAATGCGCGCGGATCCTTTGCCATGAAGCTTTTCTCCAGAGCTCGCAAGCTGTGTAACGCCAAGCGCCACAGACATGCCTAACCTAAAAACATCTTTCGCACGAGGGGCTTGGTTTGCGCAAGTGTAGACTGAATAGCAGCGTCCCCACCCCAGACACGCTGTCGAGGGTCTACAGCCGCCTCGAGTTCTCAAGCTCCCTGTTGCCCTCAACTTTGGTTCCAGCTGACACCATGCAGTCGCAGTAAGGAGACGATCGAGACTTGGTCCCCGGTGCTGGCGCTGCGCAACATGTATGGTGTATCTCAGACTGCAGGACGCAGCTTTTGAACACCAGGGTACTTCGGACGTCCCAGGGTGTGACAGGGCTTCAGTCTACAGGGCACAGAATGCTGTGCTCGCTGTTTGAACGTCACGCACATTTCGACAGAGATGAGGCCTAGATGTCATTTGTCACCGAGGTTACGGAGGCGACCGGCTTGCAGACCGCACATCGCACGGCCGTCGGGGACTCGCCGCACCCCGGAAGCAGATCCCGCCGTCCTCCTCTTCCTCCTACACAACAACAAGTCCTCCTGCCATCGCCCACCTCCGCCGCTACCCCGTCCCACCGCCGCCACCACCACCTCTGTTGAAGCACCCACCACAGCAGCACCAGCATTGTTGGTACCGCCAGTCCTGCGGGGCTGTTGTCCCTGTGGCTAACTGCCCGAGGCGGAGTGACGAACAGTTGGTTGTCAACCCAGGAAGCTTGTCGGTCGCGCTCTGCCCGGCTATGTCGTGGCCCTTTCCGAGGACCCGGCGGCATCTTTCAGCAGCCTCTCAACCTTGCGGCCCCAGTCCTGGGCCCTCCTTGCGCAACGCCTTGACCGCTGGAGGAGGGCGAGATCCTCCTGGCGGGCCGCGGCCTCGCGCGTGGATACTTGGGTCGCGAGGAGGCGCAGCCGAAACCCGCGCGCTCCGAAGACCCCCAACTCTAAACCCTACACCTTATAAGCCCCCAAATCCTGAACCTTTGTTTTGGCCGAGGCCCCATTAAACCCTTTTTGACTTTGACCATCGCAGGAGACGCGAAAGCGCTTCGTGGACCTCCCCGCCCTGGCGAAGGCTACGAAGGTCTACTGGCTTCGGTTGCCCTTTTTGGAATTTTCAAGGGTGAGAGCCCCCGCGGCCGTGCCTGAAAGTTGTAAACAGGGTGAGAGCGCTTTGGCCAAGGGGGCCCCTCAAACCTAAACCGTCAACCCGAAACCCTACACCCCAAACCGTCAACCCTGAAGCCTAAACCCTCAAGCCTAAATCTCTCCTGTCAAGGTGGCGCCAAAGGCCTACTGTACCGGCGACCTGGGCTTCATGGGCCCTCAGGGCTTGGTGCTGAAGGGGCGCCGAGACCACCAGGCGCTCCAAACGTCTTGCAATCTCCAGCTTCAGAAAAGCGCTGAGACGTAGATAGAACATACTGCAACCTAGTATCTAGTGGTAGAATCTCATGTACATGTAATAAAGGAGATGGTACGATTCGATGTAACCTAATATGATCTAATGCAACTCTCCTAAAAGGTGAAGATCTCTGGAGTTCGCATCGAGCTCTCCGAGGCACAGTTGTTGGGAGCCCTGTTCGGGACGTTGAGGGGTTGAGGGTTTTAGGGTTTACCGTGGAGGGTTTTAGGAATTGAGGTTTAGGGTTTAGGGTTTAGGGAGCTGCAGTTCAGCCGCAGCCTCGCCGTCGCGTCTTCTCAGTGATTTGACCACGGCAGGGGGGGGTTCACGGTTCCACTCTGATGTCATGGACGTGAGTGCAATACTTCCTGAAAGAGCTTGCGAGCTCCGCGCTCTTGTAGCCGACAGCTACGCCACCGCGTCAGGGTCTTCCAAGCTCTTCGCTGTGAGGCTCCTCCCTTTTACTCATGATTTTGATGGTCTGAGCTTTCTGCGCAACCCTAAACCCTTAAAAAAAACCCTATATAAACCCTATCCAAGCAGCCATGAACACCTCTGGAGGTCGAGCTGGCCATTTCGGCTGCTGGGCTCAGCTCGGCCTGTGCGGTGGTGGTGGCTGAGGGCGCGCTTGTCGCCCACGTGGTTCCATGGCTTTCTGTGACTCTGTCTCTGTGGCCTCTGTCTCTCTGTGACCCTCTCTGATTCTTTTTTACCTTCCTCCCATCCACCTGTATAAGCTTTTGCGTGACACGTTTGGGACTGGTCACACTTCTCTTCTCTTCGGCTGAGTCGTATCTGCGGCATGCCTGATGGCTTCTCCCCAGGCGCTCGGCGACCAGACCCTGGACTGGATCCTCCGTGCGGCCTTGGAGGCTTGGCGAGCCCTTTCGGCAGTGGTACATATACGCAGCATCTATCTGGGTAGTTCTCTAGATTAGGGTCCCTTTTTAGGGTCCTTTTAATAAGGGTGCCGTACTATAGTGGGGACCTAAAGAGGGACCCTAATTTAGAGAACTATCCATCTGATAGATCTGTCTGCCTGCCTGGCTGGCTGGCTGGCTGTCTGTCTGTTCGTCTGTGTGTCTGTCTGTACACACTTTTTATGTCCTAGAGTATCTTAGATCGCCGTCAGTAGGAGCCGAGAAACTAGCAGGCAACGACTGTGAAGGCCGGCCATGTCCATGCTGTTCACATCAACGTAGATCTTGGCTTTTTGCCGCCTTCAGAAGCAGTGGTGGTTCTCAGACTGAGGCTACGACCAAGACATGGCATTTTCTTTCTCTCTTTCCCTCCCATCCGACTGTCTCCGGCCCAAAAACCCCTAAATTTCACCCTCACCTTTCTTTTTGGCTTCTGCGCCCGAACTCCTGCAAAACAAGGACACACACACACACATACAGAGACAAAACGGTTCCTTGAAACCCCTTTGGATATTCCCCCCACACTTCGCCCCCGCACCCCCGGCCTGCGTGCGCCTCGTGCCAGCGCATCAGCGCTCCCGGGCTTTTCTTGGATCTTTTGGGCCCTCTTCGGGGTTTTAGGGTTTAAGGTTTAGGGTTTAGGGGGCATTTTTCTGCTCTTTTGGGAGAGTTGAGAACCGCTTTGGGCTTTTTCCTTCGCTTCGCTTCTTCGAAGTGACTCGGCGCTTTTTCTTTTCTCTCTATTGCCCGTGTGCCTATCGTCCCGTGACTCTTTCACTCTTCGTGCTAAGGTAGTGTTACAGGGATCTAGAAGGGTCTCTAGAAGGGTACTATAAGGGTTCTACAAGGGTAGTTCTCCAAACTACTCCCGGCCTGGGAGGCCGGTGCAGCCGCTCGTCTGCCCAAGGAGGCGTGGCCACAGAGAGCGCGTCGCGACTGTCACAGGATCTGCAAAGGGCTTGTTTTGGGTTCGAATCTAATGTCATTTTGGCGACTTGTCACCCGGCGGAGGCAGCACAGCACTAGATAACTCCGGGAAGGTGGTGCCGCACCATTTCCAGCGGCACGAGAAGCTGCCACTTGCAGCCGGTGGAAAAGTGGACCGGCAGGCGGGCAAGCAAAGCAAGGCCATGCAAGCCCTAAACCCCAGGAGCCCCGGACATTCCCCAAACCCTGAAGGTCTCTGCAACGTCGGAGCTGCACCTAAATGCTCTCAACTCCTGCAGGTCTTGGAAGCACTGGGCCTTGGCTCGGAGGGCGCTGCGCCTGGCGGTGCCACGGCCACGGCTCTTGAGGACCTAGTGCGCCTTGTATGCTCGGGGGTGGGCTGGTTCTCCATCTGGGGGTTTCCGAAAATAGGGGACCCTAATATATTACCCTTAATACTAGGATCCTTATTATAAGGACCCCCCAAAATAAGGTACCCTAATTTTCGGAAAGTCCCATCTGTTTTCACAATCCACAAGCTCCCAAGCTCTGGCGAGTGATGGCCCACAGCCCTTGGCCCTGCTTCCCTTCATGGCCGGGCCCTAAACTTTCTACCCCTTCGAGGGCCGGAAGTCTTAAACCCCCAATGATCAGACCATGCTCTATCTACACTGCATCATATACTATGCCGTAGGTCTGAACCCCCCAAAACACAAACTGAACCACTCTGAGCCGTTTTCTGCCCTCATAAGTAGCGGTAGGCTTGTCTCTTCGAGGCCGTTCTAATACACCCCTAACTGCCTTGATCCGTGGCAATCGCCATGAGCTTGCGGGAGCGAGTTGTTCCGTTTTTGGATGTTTCTTTCGGAGGCCGCCGTTGCCAGGGCCTGGGCCTCTGCCTTGCGACGACCGGAAGAGCAGCTGGGTGCCTGGGCTGCCACCGCCGCAGAGAGCCTTTCGGGTTTCGTTTTTTTGGCTTCAGGGTTTAGGGCTTCGGGTTTTGGGGTTCAGGGTTTAGGGCTTCGGGTTTTGGCTTCAGGGTTTGGGGTTTCGGGTTTGGTGTTGAGCTGCGTGATTCTGCGAGTGATCCAAACAGGAGTGCTTTTGCAATGCTGGCAAGGTGATCCGCACTTTAGCTCTGTTTTCGCGAAGCAGAGACTCTGGCAGCCCTGCTTTTCAATCGCCCTTACGGTTCGTTGTTAATCGAGGCCGTGGCTCCAATTTCTTGTGGCTCGGCGGCGACAGCCTTGCTGCGCTGCGAGCTTGCCGCAGCCTGCGGGAGGCTTCCAAGGGGCACGTGGCGGCGTGTTGGTTGGCTTTATGTTTCGGGTTTTAGGGCTTAGGGTAGGGCCTAATGTGAGCACTTTTCAGGAAGTGCGTTCCCCCACCGATATGGTCGAGCTGCGGGACCTGGACGTCCAACAGGACAGAGCTGACTTTGGGTTTTGACGTCCGCTGCAGGTGCTTCACGTGAAGACACTTCATTCGGTGCTTGGCGTGCTCCCCAAACTCCTTCAAGAGCATCGGGGCATGTCTACCAAGAAACCCCCGAAGATTCGGAACCCCAATCCCTTGCAACAAGCTTATGCAGATGAGTTCGAGAGAGATATCTTAGCGTAAGTTTGGACATAAACTCATCAGCCCCTACAGCCCCTGACGCTGATCCTCAAAATCCTGGTCCGATGGCCTTGTGCCCCGAATCCCTGAACCTTTCAATCAGCCCCGGACCCCTAGCCTTCAAACCTAACTCGCCCTAAAATTTTGGAGCCTAAGCCCCCCTTTTTGTCAAACCCCTCAAAGCCTCACCCTATGCTTCCAGGGACCTTATAGTTAGGGCCCTGGACCCTTGAAGGACCCCAACAATAAGGTCCCCGGAAGCATAGGGTCTAAACCCTAAACCCTATAAACCCTAAACCCCGCTCTTTCGGAGGAGCAGAGGGGCGAGGCCGGATTGCTCGTGGAGGCGGAAGCGCCACCAGGCGCCCCAGCGTCCGGTTTCGAGGGAGGAAGCATGCAGAAATGCCAAAAACGCGCAGAAGATATAAAACGACAAAGGAAAATTAACAAAAAAGCGAAAAGCGATACATAGAGATACACCTTGACACAACAAAAATAAACAGAGCATTTCTTCTCATAGCCGCACAAGAAGCAGAAAGGGGGGCCCTGGGCCTCCCTAAACCCCTAAATCCCAAACCACTAGACCCCTAAACCCTAAACCCCTAAACCCCTAAACCCCTGAACCACTAAACCCGTAAACCCTAAACCC